CTTCCAAGAAAAAATAAATAAAAGGCTAAAGGAGGACATCACCACCAAGCCAGCATTACAAGAAATGCTAAAGGGACTGCTATAATGAGGAGAAGAAATAGAGAGAAAAACCTAGGGATATAGAATTAAAATGGCAATAAGTACCTATCGATAATAACCTTAAATGTAAATCGATCAAATGCCCCAATCAAAAGACATAGGATAGCTGAATGGATACAAAAATATGACCCTACTATATGTTGTCTACAAGAGACCCACTTCAGAACAAAAGACTCACAGAGGATGAGAGTGAAGGGATGGAAAAATTTTTCCATACAAATGGAAAAGAAAAAAAAGCTGGAGTAGCAATATTCATACCTGACAAAATAGACTTCAAAATGAAGGCATCACAAGAGACGACAAAGGTCACTACATAATACTCAAGGGATCAATCCAATAAGAGGATATAACCCTGGTAAACAGGTAAGCACTCAATATAGCTGCAGCAATCTTGAGAAAGAAGAACAAAGTTGGAGGAATCACAATACCAGATATCAAGTTATACTACAAAGCCACTGTACTGAAAATAGGCTGGGACTGGCACAAGAACAGGCATATAGATCAATGGAACAGAATAGAGAACCCAGAAATCAACCCAAGACATTACGCTCATTAATAGTTACAAAGGAGCCAAGAGCATACAATAGAGTCAAGACAGTCTCTTCAGTAAATGGTGCTGAGAAAATTGGACAGATACATGCAAAAAAATGAAACTAGACCACCAACTTACACCATACACAAGAATAAACTCAAAATGGATAAAAGTCGTAAATGTAAGTTGGGAAACCATACAAATCCTAGAAGAAACCATAGGCAGCAAAATCTCAGACAACTCTCATAGCAATATGTTTACAGATACATCTCCTGGGGCAAAGGAAACTAAGGAGAAAATAAACAAATGGGACATCAAAATAAAAAGCTTCTGCACAACAAAAGAAAACATCAACAAAACAAAAAGGGATCTCACTGTATGGGAGAATGTATTTGGCAATGATACATCTGATAAAGGGTTAATATCCAAAATATATAAGGAGCTCATACAACTTAACAAAAGGAAGATAAACAATCCAATTAAAAAATGGGCAAAGGACCTAAATACACACTTCTCCAAAGTGGACATACAGATGGCCAAGAGACATATGAAAAAATGATGAAAGTCACTGATCATCAGAGAGAGGCAAATTAAAATGACAATGAGGTATCACCTCACACCTGTCAGAATGGCTACAATCAACAAATCAACAAATGACAAGTGCTGGCAAGGATGTGCAGAAAAGGGAACCCTCGTGCACTGCTAGTGGGAATGCAGATTGGTGCAACCATTACGGAAAACAGTATGGAGTTTCCTCAAAAAATTAAAAATGGAACTGCCATTTGACCCAGTGATCCCACTTCTAGGAATATATCCTAAGAAACCCCAAACACCAATCAGAAAGAATGTATGCATCCCTATGTTCATAGCAGCACAATTTACAATAGCTAAGATCTGGAAACACCCAAGTGCCCTTCAGTAGATGAGTGGATAAAAAAGCTGTGGTACATTTACACCATGGAATACTATGCAACAATAAAAAAAGAAAAATCTCTTACTCTATGAGACAGCATGGAGGGACCTGGAGAGTATCATGCTAAGTGAAATAAGTCAGTCCGAGAAAGACAAGTATCACATGATCTCACTCATATATGGAATCTAATCAACAAGATAAACTGATGAGCAGAGTGGATGCAGAGACATGGAAGCGTGGAACAGAATGCGGAATCTCGGAGGGAAGGCGGCGGAAGGTGGGTGGGAGATAATCAACCAAAGACCTTGTATGCATATATGCAGGACCCATGAATGCAGACAGCAGGTTGGAAAGGGCCTGGGGTGGCGGGCAGGGGCTGGAGGGGGTCGGTGGGGGAAACAGGGAGACATGTAATACTTCCAACAATTAAGATTTTTTAAAAAGAAATAATTCTGAGTAACAGCACAAATTGCTATTTTGAAGTACAGTTGGCTTTTGAATAGCACAGGTTAGAACTGTGTGGGTCCACTTATAGGGGGACTTTATTTTTATTTTTTAAATATATTTTATTGATTTTTTACAGAGAGGAAGGGAGAGAGATAGAGCGTTAGAAACATCGATGAGAGAGAAACATCGATCAGCAGCCTCCTGCACATCTCCTACTGGGGATATGCCCACAACCAAGGTACATGCCCTTGACCAGAATCGAACCTGGGACCCTTCAGTCCGCAGGCCGATGCTCTATCCACTGAGCCAAACCGGTTTCAGCGGGGGGACTTTATTTTTAAATAAATACTGTGAATGTCGGGACGGCCCCAGTAAGGTTGTGACGGCCCCGGTGAGGTTGGGACAGATAATGGGGACCAGTATAGACTGATGAACAGGGGTAGATGCAGAGGCAGAGCAACATTGAACAGACTGTCAAACTACAGTGGGAAGCCTGGGGAGGGTTTGGGGGGGATTAAGAGATCAACTGAAGGACTTGTATGCATGCATATAAGAATAACCAATGGACACAAGACACTGGGGAGTAGGGGCCGGGGGAATGTCAAGGGGGGGAAAAAGGAGACATATGTAATACTCTTTGTAATACTTCAAGAAATAAAAATTATTAAAAAAAAATACTGTGAATGTGAACAAAACAAAACAAAAGAAACCACAACTGGAGTCCTAGCTGGTTTGGCTCAGTGGCTAGAGTGACAGCCCATGGACTAAAGCTCTATCCTGGATCGATCCCAGGTTTGATCCCGGTCAAAGGCATGTATCTAGGTTGCAGGCTCAACTCGTGGGCATGCAACCAATCGACATGAGACATCGATGTTTCTCTCTCTGTCTCTCTCCCTCGCTTCCATTCTCTCTAAAAATCAATTTCCTTGGGTGAGGATTAACAACAAAAAACCCCCCACACAACTAGAAAATTGATGAATATTCTGCCGTAACCCTCCCCTAAGATTCCTGCCTGCAAGAGAGAGATAAAAGGCTCCAGACAAAGGATGCAGGGTGCACTCCCCTCCTGGGAGCAGGCCCTAGCCTCCCCCTCTCCCTCTTCTTCCCCCACAGGCACGAATCTCCTAAACTCTAGGATTCAGAGTTTAGGAGCAGCTCATCCCAGCAACAGCTCATCCCAGGCTAATCCCCTAAGCCTGTCCCCAAGGCCCTTTTCTCTGACTTCCCAGAGAGCTAGGGCCGCCCAGCCTAGCTCACCTGTGGCTGCCTCTGTCCTAAGCCCTTCCTGTTTCTCTCTGTCCCGGTTTTAATTAGCATGCGCTCACAGTCACCTGGACTGGTGGTGTGACATTTTTCCTGAAGTCCAGAACCGCTGGTCCTAGAGAGACTAGCTCAGGGCCAGGCCCCTGTCCAGTGACCCTTCCAGGGCTTTGACAAGACCTCCGACGTGTGGCCTTCCGGCCACGAGTCTGTGATTTCATGTTGTTGGAACCACCATTGTGTCCCTGGGGGTTGCAGCTTTCTGTGAGTTTGCTGTGGGGGAACCAAGAAAGAAGGCATCTGCAGATTCCCACAGGAACTGTAATTCCAGGGAAGAGTTTGAGGAGATGAAGAAGGCTGGCATCTCTGAGTGCAACGTGACCTTGGAATGTAAGGAATTTCTTTGGGTTGAATTCCATGGAAGTTTGTCACTGAGCTGTGCTCCTGAATATGAAACAGGGATATCTGAGCTAAGGAATAGTTCTCTTGATAAAGAAATGATTATTAACAAGATACTGTGGAAAAATAAATTTTAAAAAACGAAACCTATCCATTGATCCCCACTGCCTTCCAGTGTGAGGCAGGCCTTGCCTGGGGAGGTGGCCTCCCCCCTCCGCATGGTCTCCCTACTCTTCAGACTCAAAAGGCTGAGAACGCCAGGAAATCTACGGGGAGCCTCCGAACACAGGCGTTTCTTTGATTCCTTTCCCTTTATCCGAGTCCCCACCACAGTCAGGTGGTTGCATCTGGAGGCAAGAGGCCAAAGTCCCCACCTACAACTGGTTCTTAGTGTGAGCATCCAACCTTCCCTGGAAGGGCCTTCGGAGACAGGTGAGATCAGACCCAGTGGCTTCGTTATGTCCATGCCATTGGCTGCCTCTGGCACAAACAGGGTGACCCATGCCCTACCCGGTGTGGCTCAGTGGATAGAGCGTTGGCCTGTGGACTGAAGGGTCCTGGGTTTGTTCGGTCAGGGGCATATGCCCAGGTTGGGGGCTTGATCCCCAGTGGGGGGGCGTGCGGGGGGACAGCCAATCAGTGATCCTCTCATTGATGTTTCTATCTCTCCCTCTTCCTTCCTCTCTGAGATCAATAAAAATATTTTTTTAAAAAATAGGGGGACCCAGGCCATCCCTGTACCTCCAGTGGCACCTGAGGACCCAGGAGGAGGATCTCGGCCTGGTTCAACTGCAACAACCTTTATGTTCTTAGGAGGTTTCCATCACCTGCCGGTCTGGAGTTTCCCCAATTGTGTGATCCTGGGGGAGGGGGGGGGTGGGGCTGGTGCAAAACCACACACACGTGAGGTAACTGCAGATTCACCTGCATGTTGTAAGAAATAACAGAGATCCCCTTGGACACTTTGCCTACTTCTCCCAATGATTAAAAAAACAAAACAAAAAACTCTCACCGGAGTATATGTTTTTATTGATTTTAGAGGGAGGAGGGGGAAGGAGAGAGAGAAACACGGATCGACTGCCTCCCCTACACGCCCCGAGCGGGGTCGAACCCGCAACCCTTTTGGGGTACAGGACGATGCTCCCAATAACAACTTTGGCAAAACTATAGTGTAACAACCAGAATACTGACACTGGTAAAAATACACCAATCTTCTGAGATTTATCCGGCAGGTGTGTGACATTTCCATGATCAGCCAAGCTTGCCTACTCAGCAGGCAGCTGTAACCAGGGTGGCACCCCGCCCCCCCCATGTGCCCCGCCCCCCGAGAGGAGGCCTGAGAAATTAAGGTGCAGGGCGCGGTGTGCTGCCTCCTGACACATCGCTCCAGCCGGTTACAGACCTTACGACTGCGGCGTGGGCAGCGGGGTAGGTCCGTGCCGGGCGTGGAGGACGCCACCTGCTAATGGAGGCCGATCGCCCGGGGCAGGGCCCCGCCGGGAGGGACGTGCCCCGATCGCCAACGCCCGAGCTCAGCGTTAGCGGCGGCTCGGCTCCAGACCTGGGTCCCAGCGAGGGGAGGAGCGAGCACGCCAGGCCTCGCCGGGAAGGGGAGTCCCGAGCAGGGGCGCTCCACGAGGTCCGCCCCGGGGCACGCCGGGAAACCGCGCGCCCCGCCCCTTCACGCGTACTTTACTTGACTTGTGAGCATCCCATCGGCACACCCTGTGATGTATAGTCTGCACCTTACATATGTTGCAGACCAGGCTGCCTTGCGCCTGAATGGGTGATTTCTCCAAGTGACGGACAGTACCTTTCCTGAGGT